AACTGCGCCGTCCGCTACACTAAGAATGATCAAGGAGATGCGATCATGGACCAGGACGAGTATATCAAACAACTACGTCCTATCACACACCCAGAACTTACAGGAGCGGCGGCCGATGCCAAAGCCACGAAACTCATTACCGACATGTTCGTCAGCCTGCGAGGAGCCCTTGCCTATGCCCTTCTTACCCAAATCTGGCTCATGGTATACGTGGTCTCTCTTCAGAAAATTCAAGAGCCCACCAATCTGCAAGTCAGACGTTTGAATGCTGTGACGCGAAAGCTGATCAGCAGCCCGAAACGTATCACCTTCCCTCGGATGAAGCCGACGAATGAAGTTGACATCCATAGCGATTCGGGGTATCGGAAGCTTACCGGGGAGGAGGATGACGAGACCAAGGGCTACGGCATACGCGGGGCCAATGTACTACGGCGAGGAAACTCGCCTCAAGTCAAGTCCGTCGTTCACCTCTGTGACGGACTATGCAAATCACACCGATTACAGGTGAGGTCCAGTTATGCTGCGGAGGCACTTGCAGCCGCACATAACCTTGATGAGTGTTACCCTACGCTCATTACTCTCCACGAGCTTAAGGCAGGAGCTTTGACTCCACGACAATTACGAGACATGCGTGAAGTTGGAGGCCTAGTTATCAAAGTCTCTCTTACCATAGACGCCGAGTCCGCTTACAAATCTTTATCAAGCAGGGATCTCAAGATACCTACATAACGGACTCTGCTTGGACATATCAGCTGGATACGTGAGCTCATGGATATAGGTATAGTGCATAATGTGCAATGGTGTGATACTAGGGATATGACCGCAGATGGGCACACAAAGGGAAGCATCGATCGGGAGCTGCTTCTGGAAGTGATGTCAGGCACTCAGTCATTTAAGTATGACGTGAAGCAATTTGTTCCCTTTCGGGGTCCCGAGGACAGAGACAAACCTAAGTCTAATCAATTTTAGTCTGTCCTTGTTGCCCTCGCGGTCCAATTTGCCAGCACGGGCGCCTACTATAAAGGCGCCCTTCTAGTTGCTCGGAAACGAGCCTTATATTTCACGCCTGGCAACGAGCCGGCTTCGTACAACTCAGGCTCTTTGCCTTAATACACATTTGCTTGGTGAGGTATGGCCTGTTTGGCTTACCTCTAACTGAGCCGATTGCCCTTCATTGCTTGAAGGGGCTATCTTGTATTTGCGTGAAATACTTTGCAAGGAAACTCGCCTTACAGTCTGGTGTTAGGCCAGACTGTACGCACTGTTTTCCTTTTTGCAAACAGTCGTGCGCGCGATCTTTGCGTGCGACTATGCTCTCCGTCTCCTCCCCTCCCGACTTTAAGGGTAGCTCTTTGGGAGATGTTACAGTATCGGGAGCATAGCTCGCGCGCCGTTGCCTTTGGCCCAAGGCACACGCGCCCTATTTGCCCGGACGCCGCGAGTGTTCGATATGTGCTGGAAAGACCGATACATCGATCTTATCCTATCTTATCCGCCCATCCCTCATACTGAACTATCACAGCAGAGCGATGGACGCTATTTGCCATCCGATGTCTATCATGGAATCGGATGCTATTTGAGTTACCAGGCTCACTTTCGACTGAGGAGGAGGAGGATGTCAGCACGGAACCAAGCAGGGAGTGTCGTGCTGGACTTCCTTTGGGCCCTGCATTTCTTGACTGGCCTCCCCAAGCCCCCGACGTCGTGATTTTTGTCGCAACGTCGACCCCCAGAGGTCTGGACCCCTTCCGCAGGACCGGCTTTTCATCCTGAGTGGTTGTTGACGGTCTCGAGGCTTGGTAAGGGTCCTTGGAGGCCGAAAATTGAGAAAAACCTAGTTTCCTTTTTTTTCGCGCAGCGCGAGGGAGTCTGGGTCGGGAGCCATCAAAATCGAACCGAATCGAATCGGATCCTTTTACCCAACAGCGAAGACTGATAGGTGTCTAATGGTGTCAAAAGAGAGCATCTTGACTCCCCAGGGGGGTCTGGGCGGGTGCCGGGGAATGCCGCGGGACTCCCGGGGATTTTTTTGTTGCCAACAGTAACGCACTTCGTGGTCTTCGAGTTCCCAAAACTCCATTCCTGGGCATGATTTTCGATGCCCAGAGCCAACTGTAGGCCACTTCGTGGTCGTCGAGATCCCAGAACTCATTCCTGGGCATGATTGCGAAGGCCTTCCGGCCGGTGCCGCCGACCCTGAATGGCGACGACGACGACGACGACGACGACGAGCGCTCTTGGGGGTAGTTTGTGGGCCTCTTGGGAAGCTCCTAGGGGCCGCTTGGAAGCCTCGTGGGGGCCTCTTGGGGCTTCCTGGGGGTCTCTTGGGGGGGCCTGGGACGTCTTGGAGGCTTCTTGGACGGTCTTGGGGCTATCTTGGGCGTTTTCGGCCGATCTTTGGGCGACTCGGGGCCCTCTTGGGCCGTCTCGGGGGCCATCTTGGGCATTCGGACCTCATTTGGAGTGTTTTCGATGTTTCTAGGCCGCCCGAGGAAAAACGAATCTGCCCCCCCACCCCCCCCCACCCCCCGGGACCCCCCCCGGGACCCCCCCCCCTGGGGAAGGGATCGAAGGGAAGGGGCTTCCCTTCGACTCGATTACGACACTGCTAGATTTTTCTCTCGCTCACGAGCTTGAGAAGGAAGCTGCAGGGAAAGGGGACGACGGAGGCGACGACCGACGGAGACGACGACTCGAACAGCCAAGCCCCTCGCACACGCCGACAGGGTCGGCGGATTTTGAATGCCCAGAGCCAACTGTAGGCCACTTCGTGGTCTTCGAGTTCCCAGAACTCCATTCCCGGGCATGATTTTGAATGCCCGGAGCCAACTGTAGGCCACTTCGTGTCTTCGAGTTCCCAGAACTCCATTCCTGGGCATGATTTTGAATGCCCGGAGCCAACTGTAGGCCACTTCGTGTTCTTCGAGTTCCCAGAACTCCATTCCCGGGCCACATTTTGAATGCTGCAGGCTGAGGCTGAGGCTGAGGCTGAGGCAGGCTGAGGCCGAGCTGAAGCAGACTGAGGCTGAGGCTGAGGCTGAGGCTTGAGGAGGCAGGCTGAGGCTGAGGCAGGCTGATGCTGAGGCAGGCGAGCTGAGGCTGAGGCTGATGCATGCTTGAGGCTGAGGCAGGCTGAGGCTGAGGCCGAGGCTGAAGCAGACTGAGGCTGAGGCTGAAGCAGGCTGAGGCTGAGGCTGAGGCGGATGCGGCATGCGAGGCTGCAGGGCTGGGCTATATAGGCAGGCAGGCTGAGGCTGAGCAGGCTGAGGCTGAGGATATGAGTGAGGCTGAGGCTGAGGCAGGGGGCTGAGGCTGAGGCGAGGCAGGCTGAGGCTGAGGCTGAGGCAGGCTGAGGCTAGGCTGGCTGAGGCTGAGGCTGAGGCTCGCAGGCTGAGGCTGAGGCAGGCGGAGGCTGAGGCCGAGGCTGAAGGCAGAGGCTGCAGGCTGAGGCTGAGGCTGAGGCAGGCTGAGGCTGAGGCTGAGGCAGGCTGAGGCTGAGGCTGAGGCAGGCTGATGCTGAGGCAGGCTGAGGCTGAGGCTGAGGCTGATGCAGGCTGAGGCTGAGGCAGCCTGAGGCTGAGGCCGAGGCTGACTGAGGCTGAGGCTGGCAGGTTGAGGCTGAGGCTGAAGGCTGAGGCTGAAGCAGGCTGAGGCTGCAGGCTGAGGCTGAGGCTGAGGCTGAGGCAGGCTGATGCTGAGGCAGGCTGAGGCTGAGGCTGAGGCTGATGCAGGCTGAGGCTGAGGAGGCTGAGGCTGAGGCGAGGCTGATGCAGGCTGAGGCTGAGGCTGAGGCTGAGGCAGGCTGATGCTGAGGCAGGCTGAGGCTGAGGCTGAGGCTGAGGCAGCAGGCTGAGGCTGAGGCCGAGGCTGAAGCCGAGGCTGCAGGCAGACTGAGGCTGAGGCTGCTGAGGCTGAGGCTGAGGCTGAGCTGAGGCTGAGGCTGAGGCTGAGGCAGGCTGATGCTGTGGCTGAGGCTGAGGCTGAGAGGCTGAGGCTGAGGCTGAGGCTGCTAAGGCAGGCTGGCTGAGGCTGAGGTGAGGCTGGCTGAGGCTGAGAGGCTGAGGCAGGCTGAGCTGAGGCAGGCTGAGGCTGAGGCTGAGGCAGGCTGGCTGAGGCTGAGGCAGGCTGAGGCTGAGGCGAGGCTGAAGCAGACTGAGGCTGGCTGAGGCAGGCTGAGGCTGAGGCTGAGGCAGGCTGAGGCTGCTGAGGCAGGCTGAGGCTGAGGCAGGCTGAGGCTGAGGCTGAGGCTGAGGCTGAGGCAGGCTGAGGCTGAGGCCGAGGCTGAAGGCAGACTGAGGCTGAGGCTGAAGCAGGCTGAGGCTGAGGCTGAGGCAGGCTGAGGCTGAGGCTGAGGCAGGCTGATGCTGAGGCAGGCTGAGGCTGAGGCTGTGACTGCGACTGCCGTTGCCACTGCGACTGTCATCGCGACTGCGACTGCGACTGCGAGAACAGCAGAATTCTACAGCTGGGTTCTCATCTGAATCTTAGGGGGAATTCTTCCAGATATGCTTCTGCACATCGCTGTTGGGTTGCTTTGCCAGGATAATTATTATTCGGGCAAGTTTACGGTATGGACGTGGGGGGCTGAGCCTGAAGCAAGCCGAAAACAACTTGACGTGCGGAGATCACGCAAGTCGGAAAGGCACTTGCACGCTCGTATTCGATTGGAGAGGGGCGTGGGGGGAGAATGGGGGGGGGGGGGGGGGGGCGAACGCCATGCCAGAAAACTAGCTTGGATCTCAAGAAAACATGCTCGAATCAAATCGAATCAGACAGCGCCGCCAGGGGGCCCCAGCGCCGATCCGAGAAATCCGCGCGGATCTCAGAGTTCTATTTTTATGCCATGTTCCATTCCCCGGTTCAAGATCAAAATCAAATCTCGGATCGCTTCCCTATATTCTGAATCAAAACTCTTATTGGTCGTTCCCCGAATCAAAATCGGACCGAGTCGAATCGGAGGAGCGAGCCCTGCCCCCACCTCCCGGCCCTGCCGGCGCCAGGCGCTGCCTCCGGGGCCGGCGCGCTGTTCGGTGCCGGCACTGGCGGGGGCGGCCCGTGGGCCTGGGCGAGAGGGGCCAGGGTTAAGTCGGGCGTATCCCTCCACGGGAGGAATATTCCAGAAGACGACTAAACACACACGCACACACACACACACACGCACGCACGCACGCACGCACGCACACACACAGACACACACACACACACACACACACACACACATATATATATATATATATATATATACACACATATATATATACACACGCACACATCTATCGGAGTAGACCCGGGGAGGGCCCAGAACTGCGACCACTGGTTCGCATGGGGGGCCAGGGGGGCCTTGAGGGTTTCAAGAGGGTTCCCCAGGAAGCTCCCCAGCTGGCCTAAGAGGCGCCCAAAGCGCCCCAGATTGTCTGGAAGGTTGAAGTGCGCACTGAGATGGCTTCCGGACGGGCCACGAGCGCTCGAAGACAGCCCAAGATTGCTCCCTGACGGCCAGAAAGGCACTCAAGACGGTAAGACGGTCCAAGAGGCCGCCGAGAAGGCCCTCCAAGGGCAAAATCAATCATCTCCGATGGAAAAACGTATATTTCCTGGAAATGTGCTTTTCAGTGCTACCAGCGGCCGCGACGGCCCCAGAGGCTCCCAAAATGAGCCCTAGACGGCCCCAGAGAGCCCCCAGACGGCATGAAGAGAGCTTCAAGCAGCACAAGAGAGCTCCAACACGACCCAAGAGAGCATCCAGGAGCCCCGAGGGGGCCACCGGAGGATCCCTACATGGTCGGAGAGGGCCCCCCGAGGGCCCCAAGACGGGCTCAGGTCCCAATGACGGGCGAAGAGGGACCTTGAACGGTTGACTTGGGCTCCCAGGGGATCTAAAAAAGGCCTACCAGGATTCCTTGAAGACAGTCCAGGAGGCCGCTGAGAAGGTTGCCAGGTGCAAAAAAAAATCCAGGGGAAAAGCGCACATTTCCATGATATTCGCTTCTAGTGTTCCATCGGCGGCCACGTCGGCCCCAAAGGTTCTATGCCGACGACGACACCGACGACGACCAACAAAATGGTGATGCTGCGGATGATGATGTTGAAAAGTACGCTGACGATGATGGCGATGGTGATCAAGATGCTGGTGATAATGGTGAGACTGATGATTGTTGTGATGGTGAAGGTGACACACGACCATAACCATGACGATGAAGTTTACGGGGATGAGGATGACAATGACGACGATGATCATAACCCTAGCTACAACTTGAGCGCGCGAGATGAATCTAGTATGTATGTTATATATATAAATATACATATGTATAGATATAGTATGGGGACGGGTTTTCTATTATTTGCTGCTAGTTTCGGCTATTATTTGATTCTGTTTGGTTATGATTCCGAAGTCCGCTTGTTCCCTATTCAAAATTAGAAAAACAAAGTATGGGGACTACTGCACTATTTTTTCAGTTTTTTTTGTGTGTTGATCATTCTCGAGTATTGTTTAAGTATCTTTTATCATGCTTCCAAAAATCAGCTTGCAGGAGGACATGCCCAGCCTAAGGTCAGGGGAGGCAGGTGCAGCTGCATTCAGGAGGGGAGGAGACACACACACGCGATGCATCGTCGACCCCCAAGAGAGAAGATGGGGACAGATGGGAAGTGGCGGGGGAGAGACGGACATCCAGGAAATATGGCAAACTGTTTAAAGAATGCTGGGATGTGTGCGTATTCGTGTGTATGTGTGTGTGTGTGTGTGTCCACGGGCCCCTTCAGACAGCAAGCGCGGACCAAGCCAATATGTTGAAGGAGCAACAGAAGGGGGAGCATATAATGGAGGAGCAGGAGTACGAGGATCGAGGATGGATCGAGGATCGAGGACAGTTGAGGGGCAGGGGTCTCTTACTCCTCCTCCTCCTCCTCAAAGCGGGAGAGAGAATGACAGAGGCTTTTCGCTGCGCAGAAGAATCCGACATCCTACTCAACAAGTGCATGGCCATGGACGTCAATCGATGACGAAGATGCGCTGAAGGTGGCAAGCCTAGAGCTGGAGGAGAAAGAGAAAGAGTTGCACGAGAGGGGGTACTACAGGACGGCGAAGGGCAAGGGTGAGAAGCAGCCGGAGTTCCTCAAGGCGCTGGATTTTGTGGACAAGCTGAGCGACACCATGCAGTTGTTCAACGTATGCAGGAGGAGCACTGGATGTGACGGAAAGAGAGGAGGAACCCGCTCGTGCGGGCCCGCCTTCCCGAACAAGTTGTGGCAGAGAGGCCCCATTCCCAACTCGAGAGGTGACAAGTGGCAGTTCTGGTGCAAGGCTAACTGGTTGCAGTTCGTGGGGCGCATGAGAGTCACCGAGGGGACGTGCTCTTGAAGGAATGGGTGGACAAGATGAAGAAAACGTCCGGGGCAGACAGCGAAGGATGGCAACATATCGGGCGCGGGTGCAAGTTCCCCCGTTCAAAAGTGGGCCGTCAATGGTGGTGGAGCTCAAGGTGGGAACCACGTGGCAAGCGCTCATTGCGGAAAAGGCTTCCGCGGCAATTTGACGACGCCATCAAGGAGTGCCACTACCAGTTCTTCGGCGCGGCCCAGAAGATGAGACCAGACGGGCTGTTCTAGCTGATCCCAGTGTCCTTCCCGATGACGCACGAAATCGAAGGTTGCGACCTCGTCGCCAGCCACCCAGTGGACCAATGGGAGAGGGCAGGGAGGGAGGCCTTCACTGCGCAGATCTGGTGCGAGCGGGCGTCGAAGATTGCGAAGAACGACGAAGATAACCTCCACAACGTAATGGCGGTCGCCATTAAGGAGCTGAACAACGAAGGCAACATGGACCCAGAGGAAGCGAAGCGGTTGAAGCAGCGCCAGACGCTAAGGGACAGCACCCCGACCATGCTGGAAGGCACCGAGATCTTCGCGGGAAAGTTGGGCTACCCGGAGCCGGAGGAGACGACTGCGGCCAGTTCATCCAGCGGCCACCAGTGAGCGCGCCCATGGGGGCCTGCTGATATGCCAAGAGGAAGCGTTAGCGAGGTTTCTCGGAGTGCTGCTCTCAGCAAGCTGCGAGCTGGCCGTGCCCGCAGACAGTCAGGAGGAGCGGTGGCGAGGTTTCTCGGAGTGCAACTCATGACAGGCAACACGGACACAACAGTAGTCGCAATGGAAAGTCTCTTTTCCGAGTGCCGCCAGGTGCACAATTGCAGGGTGTCGAAGGAGAACAAGTGATCACCAGGAAGCCCACCAGTGCGCTCCCCGTTGGCCCTACCCTATACTGCGACTACATATCTGCTTTACCTCGCAGACACTTCGATGGGGGAACGGTGGGTTACTTCACCAGGGTACCAGATGCTACAATACTTGGGACATCTCTCGGAACGACCGAGAAGTGAGCCGAGCGGAAGAGGGGATCACGAAATTCAAACTATAGAATACGCAGCCCCCCCAGCAACAGTTTGGGGTCTCGGGCCTTCCGTCTCTCCCCCCTTTCCTCCTTTTGGGGTCGTGTCGTCGTCTCCTCCCCCCCCCTGGCCTGGGCGCCCTGCTGAGCCCGCGCGCCCCCTCCCCTAGGGCACGCGGAAAGGGCCAGCAGCCGCTCCACCCGCACTGACCCGAAGGGACTCGTGATGCAAGGTAGTGGGCCTCCTCGTGCGGGGCCACCTCGGAGTTCGGTCCTTGAGCTACGCGGTATGCCCCCTGCCGGCCCTAGTGAGAAGGCAGGGGATTTTGACTGTAGCGCGCAGGTCGCTTGAGTAGGTGCTCTGACGCTGCACCCCCTTTATGCGGATGTCCTTTTCGTTGTCCTCTTCCTCCCCTTCGTCGTCGTCGTCTTCCTCCTCCTCCTCCTCCTCCTCCTCCTCCTCCTCCTCCTTTTCCCTCTCGCCAGTTTCCCTCCGCCCCTCGCCCCCCTATGCCTCCCCATCCTCCTCCTCATGCTGCTTCGCCTCCTCCACATCCCTATCCTCCCTTCCTCCTCCACCCCTTGCCGTGCATTTGAATGTTTTTTTTGCCCCGTCCGCCCAAGCCGCATCCGCGTCCCCCGCCGACCTTCTTATTCGTTTCCTGCGCCGTTCTCCTCGCCGCTGCTTTAAACCGCACTTCGCGTCGTCCTCATACGGCACGATTCTGTCAGATCATCCGACGGATGATTTTGATACTGCTGAGTTGTGAGCGAAACAAACGAATCCCCATCTTGACTTGTATCAGATGGGCAAGGCCTGAGCACCAAAATGCGCATCAGCGGCGAGTCCCGCTCTAACCCACAAATCCCTGATTTTGTTTCGCTGGAGCGTCCTGCGTCAGATGCTGATGACGTGGTCGTTCCAAGTCGCCGCCGACCTCATCACATGACCGAGACCGCGACGTGCGAGACCGCGACGCCGCATTCGCGGCGCGGCACTGCCAAGCTGGAGCCGCGAGTGCATCTTCCTTCCCCTCCAGGAGGATGAGGGGTACTATGAAGAGGGCGAGGGGAGGGAGGCGCAGTAACAAGAACGGGACTCCCCGCATAACGATGATGAGGAAGAGGAGGGGAGTGGAGACGGGGACGGGCGACAAGTACGGGAGGTGTGAACTCGTCCCGAGAGAAGTTGGATCAGCGCCAGGAGCAGGAGTGGGAGCAAAGCAGGGAGTCTAGCCACTAGCCAGCAACGGCATGAGCGGGGATGGGACGTAACCGCGATGCGTTTGCCTATTGGCGCGGACAGGGAATGTGCAGTGGGGCTGGAGCAGATGTGGGAGGGCGAGACGGAGCATGAGGAGGAGCAGGAAAACAATGCGTCTAGTCGGGCGTCTCGTCCCGGCTCTTCTCTGCACGGCGCCAGGCGCTGCCTCCGGGGCCGGCGGGTTGTTTGGTGCCGGCGCCAGCGGTGCCGCTTTCGGGCTGCTGGGTTAAAGGAGGCATGGGGGATGCGGTGACAGGACGTGCGTTATCCCAAGCGCGTGTTTAACCCGTTCGACTCCGCCGAGAGCGCGCAGCCTGTATCGGGCGTAGTTGTTCCGCCTGCGTCGTATTGAAGGGCCTCGGTGGACAAACGCACGTTGGCGCTAACACCCATTATGAGGATCATCGGGAGCGATGGAAGAGGCGTTGAGGGATTTGATCGTGACACATGGCCGAGGAAGGGAGGACGAGCAGGAAGTGTAGTTGGGAGGCGGAGTACGGCGATGACAAGAACCAGCAGGAGGAAGAGGAGGAGGACCTGCGGCATGCATGTAGAAGGGGATCGTCTTGGAGCCCGCGTTTGTCCCTCCGCCCGCCCCGCCCCACCCCCTGTGGCGTGTTGAAGGTGCGGAGATGTCCAGGGATCTTAGAAGCCCTGGACCTTTTTCTCTGTCCTCGAGCTCTTCCCACTCCCCCCCCTCTTCCTCCTCCTTGTCCTCATCCTCCTCCCCCTCTTGCTCATGCGGCTATGGCTCGCTTCTCTTCGCCTCCAGTACCCCACCCCCCACCCCGTTGCCTCCCCCTTGTTCGTAGCGCGCAGCGCCTCCCCCTGGTGCCTCCCTCGTCCGCCTCACCCCGTTACTGCTCTTTCTTGGTCCTCCATTTCTAGTCCTCCTCGTTCTCCTCGTCCTCCTTCTTGTCTGGTTCGTCTTCCTCCTGGGCTTGCTCTTGTCCCTTCAATGCTATGCCGATATGCCTGACTGTCTCGTTGGCAGGTGCAGCCTCCGGCGCTGGCGCACTATTCGGCGCTGGCACGGGCGGTTCCGGCTCTTCATTTCACGGGGAGGCAGTGCCATACGGGCAACGCATAGCATATCTCACGCGGAGGAGAATTCGCGGGAGGAGTATGATGATGATTACGATGACGATGTTGATGATGATTATGATGATGGTGATGATGGTGGTGGTGATGTTGATGGTGTTGATGATGATGTTTCTGATAATGATGGTGTGATGCCGATGGTCGTGATGATGATGGTCATCATCATGATGACGAGGATGATGCTGATACTGATGATGATGGTTCAGAGTTTGATGACGTTGGTGGTGATGCTGGTGATTATGATGATCATGCTGATGGTGGTGGTGGTGGTGATGAGAAGGACAATGACTTGTGCGATAATGGTGTTGATGATGGTGTGATGGTGGTAATGTCTGTGACTTTGGTCGGAGTGTGGGTGGGGCGGGCGAGGAAGACCATGATCATCAGCCGACGTAGCACAGGGCTGAACCGATGTAAGATTGAGGTCGGGTCGGCTCGATGTAAGATCGAGATTATCGTGCTTGCTGGATGTTTCTGTGCATGCCGGGGGAGAGCGCCCTCTACGGTTCTTCAGTTTGGGCCGGCGGATGGCCCGAGCTTAAAGGATGTTCTTCTGTCTTAGGTTCGACTCTAGTGAACAAGGTGAATTTAATGAATACTTGGATCAACTCAGAGGGTCTTTACGCTGTCGGTCACCCCCCAAAAAAGCCCTCGGCCGGCACTGAATCTGTCCTTCCTCGCCCTTCCCCCCCGTCTACACCCCCGTCCTCCCACGCAGTTGGCGTCTCCTGCTAAGCCTGTGCGTACAAGGAGAAGGAGGAGGAGGAGGAGGAGGAGCTTGCTTGCTTGCTCTCGGTTGTGGGACGATGAATCTCAGAGCATGAATTACCTACCCCGCTTTCGCTTCCAGGAAAAACCAAGGCATACCACGCGCCTCCTCGTCAAGCGGCCTGACCAGTACAGGCCGTAGTTTGGCATCGCTTGGTATCTCTTGGAAGCGAGGGTGGTCAAAAGCGAGGTAGGTTTGTTTGCCCCCTAGAACCGAATGACTGCTACGCTCGCGTAAACTGCGTGAGTCTTAACAAGCTGCATGCATGGAGACGACGGACCCAGCGGGCCGAGGGGCCGAGCGAAGGGGGCCGGAAAAGGAAGCGAGGCGAGCGACGGGCAGACGGCCGCGACCGACGACGGGCGAAGAGAGAGGCGAGGAGGAGCGGGGTCAATCTACAGTCGGGTTCCAGTAGTAGGTCGGCCCTGCGAAATCAAGGGTGTCTTGTGTCCTGTGCATCGCGCGTCGTGTCCTCTGCGGCTGAAGGGCAGGGTACCCTTGTGTCCTGCGGTTTTGGAGGCCACGTTGCCGTCGGAAGAGTCTTGTGTCCTGTCGCGCGTCCTGTGCTCAATAACCCGCCTGTACTCCAGATTTCGTAATAACAGGGAGGGGGTCTGGACCCTCCAAGACAATCCGTTTCAGACCTCCCCCGTGGGAGAACCCTTCAAAATATCGTCCCCAGACCCCCCCAGGCCCTCCAAGACAGCCAGCCTGGAAGAGACCCCCCCCCCCCCGAAATGAGACCCCCCTCCCTTTATTACGAAATCTGGACTATTCGTGCGTCCGCCGTCCGCACCCTGGTGCGAAACTTTTGCCAGGTGCGCGAGGCCGCACAGCCATACTTCGGTGGCCACGGCGCGGTGCTCGCGCCCTCCAAGCCCGAGCTAGAGCCAGGCCTCGAAGAGGATATCCTTCTCCGCCTCAGGCCACTGCACGGGCAGGTCAGCGTCGCAGTCTAATCCTAGTCCTTCAGCACGTCGATCCAGGCCGATATCTCGTCCTCCAGGTAGCCGCTCGGCGCAGCTCCCACTGTCGTCACCGCCCCCATCGAGCGGAAGGCCTCCAACACCTGCATCTCGAGATCCACGCGGTCCAGCGCAAAGACCACCTTCAGCATGTCCGTCTGCGTGCAGCTCTCCAGGCGGCACAGGCGCACGAAGGTGGCCTGCATCTCGGCCATCAGCGCCGTCATCACATCATTGATCCTCTTGCCTATCTCCTCCGAGAGCGCATCTATCATGGCGCAGAACACGGCGGGCGCTGGTGGCCCCAGACTCTTCAGCTGCTGCATCACCTTCTCCGCCTCCGCGTCGTGCTCTCGGGACGCGGCCGCATCCGAGTCCTTTGCCGCTTGTGAATTGTCCTTTAGCTTGCAAACCTCCGCGCGCATGCTGTTGGCCACCTGGGAGAAGTCCTGACTCTCGGCCTGCATAGCCTCGATCACAGGCAACTTCTCCTCCAGCAGCGCTGTTCTCGTAGTGATCCCCCACACTGCTCTGGACCGCTGCGCCAGCTGCGACGCGAGCATCGAGAGTTGGAGGAGAAGCTCCATGAGGCCAGAGTCCTTGACCAACAGCTTCCGGTCATTGCCCTCCGCGCGGCGTCGTCCGCCTCGCCGAGTCCTCGGCTTCGCCGCAGAGGCCCCCCTCTCCCGCTGCCCCTCTGGCCAGACGAACGCCCTGGCCGTCCTCCTGGCTCTTGCGGCCGTTGTCCTCCTCTCCGTCGGGCCTGGGCCGCGCTCCACCACTCCGGGAGCTGCCCGATGAGCCCCCCGCCTGCGGCCGCCAGCGGCAGGAGGAGGAGGAGGAGGAGGAGGAGGAGGAGGAGGAGGAGGAGGAGGAGGAGGGGGAGGAGGAGGAGGAGGAAGGAGGAGGAGGAGGAGGAGGAGGAGGAGGAGGAGAAGGAGGAGGAGGAGGCCCCCATGACTGCCGGCGCCCCCTGCTCCTGTCGCCGACGAAGGAGTGTGTCGCAGCGCCTCCCGCAGGGACGAGTAAACCAGCAGCCGAGCGGATGTCAGAGCCCCTCAGGCAAGCAGCACCCGGCCGCTGTGAACGGCGGCGCCTCGGGCGAGGTTCTGCTGGTACTGGTCCAGGCTTCACTCTCGATATGGAACGCCCCTCCTGCGCCGGCGGCAGGTGAGAGCATTGATGACTACGGAGCAGCTCGTACGATGGAAGCTCTACACCACATAGTGCACACTCGCGAATGCTCGTGTCTTTGAGAAATCGAATTGGTACGCCGTGTTATGCATGATACATCGCCCTGCGTGCCACGCGCGTGCAAGGTGCCGTACCGTCTCCGTCTTCGTCTGGAATGTCGTGCCACAGCTGATGCATGCATTGCTCGGTGTGAGTGCGTGAAACATACTATGTCCTCCGTGCCCTGCTTGTCGTGATTGGCATACAGGTGCTACTTGCGCTGCACGCGGTTTGAATACACATCCACATATTGGACCTTCAGGGTCTCCACGGATCTGACATGTGAACTTCTGAGATTCCGAATCTGCCCAGCTGTTTTCCCCGTCCTGGGCTGTGGGCACTGTCGCCGCCAGTGCGCCTGGTGGTGCCCGCTGTGCAGCAGCGAAGGCGCTCCGCAGGCACCTTATATCGAGGGAGACGAAGAGGCCGTTCACGTCCTCATCCCACAGCAGGTCCCTCAGCGAGCGGCTCTCGCAGACAAGCGAAAAGGACTCCGCCTCGGGGTAGCCGCAGAGGGCCTCCAGGTCGCGTCGCAGCTGACGCGCCCAAGGATGAATAACAGCATCAGAGTTGAACTGCCCAGATTCCACAAGTGTTGGTGGGCAGCGGTATTCGCAGGTCGCCCCCCACTTCATCTCGGCGAAGAAGACCCCATAAGATGTGGCGGTGGTTCCGCGGATGGCGTGAAATCTCCTGCCGCGCACGGAGGCGCTGTACTGTCGTTTCCAAACTAAACGGGACGAGGCCCCAGTAGCTGTAGACCTCCCTCGTCGTCAGCACCTTCACGCGGTCGTTCTGCTGGCTGGCCGTCCCACCCATCATCGATCTCACTTTCCTCGAACTTGAACTGCAGATCCGTCGAGCCTCTGTGTCCGTCCAACAGTACGCAGCAGCGCCCCCGACACCAAGCTGATGAACACGAGGCGCTTGACACGCTTGGGGGGCGGCAGCATACCAGAAGCCCTGCACCATCATCCAGCCTTTGTTGATGGCAGCCAGCCGCGAGGCCAGCTCCGTCGCATTGGAGTTCACCGCGATGAACCAGCCGCCCAGGTATTTCAGCTCGTGCCCGCTCCTGCAGCCGCTGCGGGAGAGGGCCTGGATCGTTTGTCGCACCAGCTGCCGAAAACCCACGGAGACGACCACGTCTTGTTTCGATATGTTTTGGCCGTACTTCCTCGCCGCCAGCGCCTGGCCCAAGCCTGCATCATTCCTCTGTGAGAAGATCACCACGTCGTTGGCCGTGCTGATGCTGGTCGGCACCAGCTGGGTCTTGAAGACGTCGGCCATGAAGCCGCCCAGGCTCGCGTCGATCGCGGGCAAGCGGCCGTCGAAGTCCATCAACATCGTTTTCGCCGTCGCCGACTGGTCCGCGAGGGCCCACTTCTGGACTGCTGTGTGGTCATCGACAGCGGTTTCCAGACGGGCGCGGACGCCCTCCTCGATGTGGCCTTCTTTTATCCACACTGCCGAAGACACTCGTCGCGTCGTAGCTGATGCGCAGCATCGGCTGTCCAGCGCCATGGCCCTTCCACGCCGCACTCCTCGTTGCCACCATCGGGTGCTCACGGCGGCGGCCTCGAGCGGCGAGCGCCCACTCGGGAGGGCGGAAGAGGAGGAGGAGGAGGAGGAGGAGGAGGATTGTCACGGCTGTCGTTTAAGGCACGGGTAATGTTTTACCGCTTCGTGCCCTAACAATGGTGGCACGCCGTGTTCAATTCCAATTCCAAATCAAACGCCAGAAAGCACTGAACTATCTGCAACCTGCAATGCTAGTTCAAGTGGGATGCAGCCTGGAATGCATGAGTAAGGTCCCCCCACGGCTGTGAAGCAGGATGGTTTACAACTGCCCGGCCTCTTCCCAGAGGAGGGCCACCCCACGACTGTGAAGCACACTTAGCTGCCCCGTGCCAATCCCCGTACTCCCATGGATGCAACACTTGTGAAGATGCGGCTACTACCACGCCTATG